AGACAGCACTGTTATTTTTCTTATGAAAAGTTAGCTTGCTGCTAGTTATCTATCAGCTAGTGTTAGCAATCACTTAGTGATGACATTCTCTATTTTTGAGGGGTTTTTTAAGCAGTTAAACTGTATTTAATGCTAAGTTTACTGATCTAAAGACATAATCTACAGTATGCTTAACAGTTTATTTTATTTTTATCAGTATAAAAGTGATAGGCTTATTTAACTTTTATTTGTAGGAAGTGGTAGAAATTTGTTTTCATAATTGGGATTTTCCCGGTTAAATAAAGGTCAGTAAATAAATCTGTCAATCCATCCATCATTAGCTTTCTAATCAGTTCCAAACATCCACATATCGATCTTATAAATACAGTAAATGTAAAAACCTCCTCTAAGCTTGTTTGGGATAAATTATCACATTAATTTAATTATTTGAGTCATAACTGAATTTAAAAACAGGACAAATGCAACTAGTTTAATGAAGAATCTGTCTCCAGTCATTAAATCAGGTGTTTATTTATGTAGGAAAAAGTATCTTTAACAACCTGTTAAAATACATTAGAAATCAGGAAATAGTTTCTAATTTATTCAAAATTTTCTGGGGGAGGACCACCAGACCCCCATCCAGTGTGTCCTTTACACACACATTATAAGACTTATGTGAAAGGATAAACCAACACAMCTGTGCTCCACCTGTGTGTCTCTATATGAAACTATGGTTGATTATCAAACTGTATTCTTAGTGAGTTTAAAGGGCTGATAGTACATGGTTGAATGAAGGTGAACATAATCTCAGTTAATATGGTTTGAGTATTACTGCATCACAACAGAAACATTTGGTATTCAGTTATCGACGAGTGCAGACAGTTAAACTGACCACACACTGAAGACACGAACAACAGAGAAACCTGGTCGCACAACTGTGGGTGAGTCAGACCCCGTCCCCCACGGTGCGTCCCCACCAACTTTCAGCACAAAGTTACGCCCTTGGTCTTTACTGTAAAGTGTTTAAAAGAGTAAGGACAAAACAAAAGAGCTTTGTAAAGATTTTTATGATGCAGAACTAACTTACTGTAGCTTCTAAACGAGTGTTTCATCTGCATGACTAACATTTAGTTTCTTATCCTGCTTTAAGGATAGTAAACCTGTCAAAGCCTGTTTCTCATCGGTGTGGATTACTTTATCCACTTGAAATTGATAAAAAATCTGCTCATTACTGTGTTAACTTACTGTAGGGTGGGTGCCAGCGAACTGCAGTCAGATGGGCACCACAGTAGTGGAACATAAACTCATGTTCTGAACGCTCTGCTTTTCCCTCTAACAGTGGCATGAGGTTAAAGCCGTCTGAATGTCTGTGAGAGAGAAACATACTGTGTGTCACTTATATTCACATCCAGTCACCAGAATCAGCGTTTCTTTGAGACAAAATCATACTCTAACCAGTCAGAACTGAAAATAAAGAAATGCAAAGTAACATTTCTGCTGGTAAAGTTTATAGTTTAGGGTTTCAACATTTTAGAGTGTGTCAGGGGTGTGGCTATGGGTGAGCCTAGGAGGTGTCCACCCACTTTATAGTCAGTCATTACTCACTCACTAATAGCTGAGATTGATTTATTAGGTAGTCAAGTTCTAAATATTGATTATCCCTAGTTACAATTTGATGTCAAATATTGTTATTTAGGCATTCAAATTCAAAAGAGGTATCAGAAAAGGTGTTTCATTGTGGCTATATCTAATTAAATTAAAACTAGTAGGATTTTCAATAAATATGACATTATCAGATTATTCCTTGATCATTTTCCTAAGAAAAAAATATTTATTTTGACCTTGAAAAATTCAATTATGGGTATTAGTTATGTTGATCTTTGTGAGCTTTTCATTGTAAACTACAGAGCATCTGTTTTATTTTTAGTGGTAAAAGAATGAATATCTGCCCCATTTAGTCATGTTTAGTGGGGCCAGCATGATTTTTATCTTAGATATTTTGTAACTCAGCATAAATTCAAATATAAAAAATACTGTTATTATTATTATTATTATTATTA